GAGCCACGAGCTCAGCTTGGGTGTTTAAGGGTCGAGCCGGCTCGATTCATTGCCACCTCTACCTAAACTATCTAGTTTTTTGGTTGTGTTTGGTACACCAAATCAAAAGGCTAATACAAATAATATTATTTCCAATGAAAAATACTAACCACCTTAATATGCTATAATACCATTTATTTGGCTCTTGTTTGACTCCCCTTAAAACAAAATAATTTATTTCCTATATTCATTTTCACTAACATTCACACAATAAAATATTTTGTATGTAAATTTAAAACTTTTCCTCACTCTTTAACCATACATTCATCGAAAAATCGTTATTCAAAATATTATTTTTACATAATAATGGCCATCAAACATGGGTTACTACTATCTCTAATGTCATGCATAATTTTCAACCTCGAAACAAGCAAAGTTAATGTTTCAATGCTTAGTTTCGGCTCGTTCCAAATTTTACAGACACAACTGGTATTTTCAAATAACTTATTTTCAAAGAATGCAAGGATATCGCTATATTCCAAGAAACAACATCAAATTTATTAATTTTTTCGAAAAGAGTTTTCTCATCATCAACACTACCGGTCTACCAACGTTAGTATACATTTACAAGATTGAATCTTTCACCAATTGATCAATCGAGAAACCACTTTTGATCAAGTACCCACGACAAAACTTCAGCATATCCGTATCATTACAATTGTGTTCAACCTCTTTCTGCATTTCACTTAACGATCGAGAAGCGCCACCATCATTCTTTTCACCCAACATACCCCGAAATCATCAGTCCAAGACACCAAGTCCCTGTAAGGCATTTCACCAAACACCTTCACGCATATCTGCAAATATTTTCCCACTTTCAAGAAACACAACAATTCCATTCAATATTGGAAGTATTCGAGTGTGTAACTATCAATATGAAACACCCAGTTCTCTAATTAACTTATAAATACAAGACGCAGATCCAACAAAACCCACATTAACAAGTGCCCTGATGCTTGAATTCCAAACAAAAGCATAGAAACAGAGCTATAAACAGCATTCAATTCAACATATAAAGATATCCACTTTGAAACAATTGTAAGGGGTAACTCATGCCCATTGGATACTATGACGGAAGCATGAATTTGCTTCTGAGGAATTTAGATTGGATAATAAAGAACGCGACTGGAGATCTAAAGTAGTGATAATTACGAGTTCTCAAGGTGATGGTGTAGAAAAGTAAATAAGATTTGTCGATTGAAGAATTATCAAGAAAATATCGGGTTGAATACAGATTAAGGAAGCAATAGTGGAGCAAGCCGTTGAAGAGAAGGAAAGCAATTTTCGAGAACTCCGAACCGGTAACAAAATCCCACATCGAAACTTAAGCAATAAAATAACCAATATAGATAGAAGAATTGGATTCNTTCGAGAACTCCGAACCGGTAACAAAATCCCACATCGAAACTTAAGCAATAAAATAACCAATATAGATAGAAGAATTGGATTCAAATTGTCCACGACCTTACTTGAACAGGATCTGTTCTATAGGCTCGTACCTCTGTATCCTTGAATTCTAAGGAGACAAGAAACCAAGTCTGACTGAGGATGTATGTCCACCTGACTAGAGCGTGATTAACAGCACCCTGGCCCTAGTTCAGGGTCATCGGGGCAGTAGAGGATCGTTCTCAGTTGGGTATGCTCGGCTGGGATGGTCAGGTGGTGGTCTGACAGACTTTCAATCTTTTTGCACCCTTCAAAGATAATAAGAGTGGCTGATAATTATGGTGATTGTATTGTTGTGAATGGTTTCTGGGTTTACAGGTGGGAAGGGTGGTGCTGCGGCGGTGAAAAGCTGAACAGGTGGAGGTGGTGGTTAACATGAATCCATGGCATGACTATGAGCCAAGAGCAAATTGTTTAGAACAAAATAGTGATCTCTACAAGCCAAGTTTTTTATTTCACTGGACATTTTAATGGACAAAATTTCCTTTTTCTTTTTTTTTTTTTTTAAGTTGCTTTACCTTAAACCCTTATGTCAGATCATTATTTGAAAACTATTTTTTCTATATATTTATTTTTAACAATTCACACTATAAAATATTCTGCCTATCAACTTAAAATTTTCTAATACTTTTTAACTACACGTTTTCTTAAAAATCATTATTCAGAACATTGTTTTGGCCAAATAATGACCATTAAAAAGGGGTTCAATATATCATATCATTTATGAGATTCCAAAAAAAAAAAAAAAACAAAAACAAAAACAAAGACGATAGAATAATTTTCTTTCTTTTCACCTTGATTAACAAAACGTGGTAGTAGGTCAAAGCACACATTGTGTTCGTCATAATTTGGTCGCACTTATATAGAAAAAGAAATCATGCAATGAAACAAATGTATGTGTTTCGCGCGGGTTAAGTCGCTAACAATTAAAAAGGATCAGACGATTGTGTAAGGGACGAAACCTCTTGAGACAAAGTCCCAAAAAGGGGTGTTCTTTTATTGGTGATGAACTTTACCATTGGAAATGAAAAACAACGTGCTTCCAAGGGGCGCAAGCACACGAGTTACTGAAAGAAAAGTGTTTAAATCTAAAAACTAAGGAAATGAAAATTGCATATTCTCTGTTCGAGAGTTTTGGATTCGGTCCTTTGCTTCTATATTCTTTTTCCCTTTTATACTTCATAGACGATCTCTTTGTGATTAACTGCTCTAAAAACTGCTTGATCGTCCTATAACTACCCACTTTCTTCGTAGTGGCCATTTTATCATGAAAACTGCCTTTTAACTGCTGCCATTACCTTTCATCGTTCAACCGCTTTCGATTGAATTCCTTGAGTCGTGGAACGTGATAGGGCTGCTTTAACAACTACCTTGATAACTGCATTTCTTGATAATCACGACGCGTTATGTCTGTTGATACCTTGGGCGACTTGAAGGTTTGGGCGAGAATAGAATAACAGCTCTGGGCGACCGTATGACACTCTATTCGTTCAGATTCTGGGCGACTTGCAAACTTGGGCGATGGCGTTACAGCATTCTTGGGCCCCCTTATTTGGGCCTTCACCTTGATTTGTTCGATTGGACTTCGTTCTTTGGGCTATCTGATTTGGGGATCCTCCAATTGGGCTTTACTCCTTGGGCCGTTCGATTTGGGCTGAATTTTTATGTGTCAACAAGATGTAACGTTTTTGGTATCGATTTTCCCTTTTTCTATGTGTGAAATACGTGTAGGTGGTGGAAAGTCCGGTGCTGGATGTGCAAGCCACAGAGGGTGCAGCCCAATCCGCTATTCAAAATTTCGAGAATATGAGGAATTTTCGTGTCGCGGTTGGCAAAATGTTGCTCCTCACTTTTTTGAAGCGTCTGATCTTGAAAAGGTTAATGCTTTATTCCATTTGAATA